TGGAAATCTTGTGATGCTTGCCTTACTCCCAAAACACCTAATTTTTATTTTCCCAGAAAAAAACACTGTATATAAACTAAATTTCACATGGGTTTTGTAGGTTTCATCCACAATTGTAGGTAGCACTGCTGTAAGGTGTTTTATGGAGGTGTCCCTGCCCATGGCAGGGGGGTTGGAACTAGATGATCTTTAAGGTCCCTTCCAACCCAAACCATTCTATGATTTTTTTTAAAAGTCCACTGCAGATATGTTTGGGTTCTCTTCTAGTGTAAAAGACGTTGTGCATGGATAACAGCAAGTCAGACTGATCCCACCGTATGTTTTCTGTGGGCAGCTGGGCCTTCCTGCTGCAGTGCTTTTCTGGTGGGGTTCTGCAGGAGTACGTGTTGGCGCAGGCAGCAAGATGAGATGCCGTTGGCTCTTCTGCTAAGCCTGGCTGGGCAAATGCATTCAAGTACAGAGTGGGTCCCTCAGGAACATCTCTCCGATAAATACCAGGAACGTCCACTCACCCAGAATCAATGTGGGCTTTGATAGGCTGAGCAAGCTGTGTTGTACCTGTTAGCTTGTTGCATTTGTCTAGGATTTGTTTGTATGTCTATCTCAAAATTGACAGGCACCTAAGCTGTTTTCACCACAGGTACTAAATAATGTCTAGAGAAGACATGTTTTTTACGTTTTTCTACTTTTTTTAATGTCTGTAAATATCACTGTGTGTTCCATATTGAGTACTTTCAGCTGGGGAAGCATTTGTAGACACCCAGATGTTAGATCGGAGCAGCCGTGGTAAGATGTGGGGCTGATTTAACTATTTGATTTGCCTACTCAGTAGGTTTTGGCAGATGCCTTTCACGTCAGTGATGAAACCTGAAATGTTATTGCAACTAAGACACTTAGGTTTCTCTCTGCCAAGGATGTCTCTGCCTTCTCCTCAGAGGATGATATCCTTATTTCCCATTTTTATTCTGTAAGCCCATCTTTATTCAGTAACCAAGTGCTACTGTGTCTTTTAAATGGGTAAGAAACTGAGGGTGATCTTACCGAGTTCTGGTTCACAAAAGAAATTCAGAGTCTGAAAATCAGTCCCAGGACTCAAGAGAGATTTAATCACAGAGTCACCTGGCCTCCCAAACTGCATGGTAAGCAGGCTTGTATGTATCTGTATGTGTAGATACAAAATCTATAGCAAAATTTTTTTTGATGACATAGAAACATGAGTTATTTTTTTGGTTGCTTACTCTAGGGTACATGACACCCGTTGGCTAATTTGAGCTAAACAATTTCTGACTGTGTTAGTCTCTGAAAAGCTTACAGTTATCCTGTTTAGCATGGAGATAAGTGGGATTTGGAGAGACGTACAAATCTGGATATTTTAGAAATACTTTTTCTCAGAGGAAATGTGTCTCCATAGGCAATGCGAGGTAAGTCAGAAAGATGAAGCACAGTATCATTCTCAAGTAGCTTTTTTAGCCAAACACTTCCTGAGAGCCTGCAGTTTGGTACAGCAGTTGTGTGGAGGGTAGCAATGAAAAATCATCTTCTCTCACTTCATTTCTGCTGGTTCTGAATGTGTCTCTTTTGCTGTCTATTAATAGTGAATCTCAGCAGATGAGGTTTGCAGGTCAAGATTTTAAAAAAATCAAAAACCTGCATGTAGTCATAGCAGTAGAATGTGCCTGGAAATCCTGTCTTCAATGGAACACGAAGATTTCAGCTAGAGTCTGAGGAACACAGGATAGTGAACAACAGATTTTGTGTTTGATGAACGAAATCTGCATCCTCCCATGGCCCTGCAGGATTCACTGCTGTTTTAACAGGAGGAAAATACCTGTTGGTTTCAAGGGGCTTTGGTCAGTCTGACACAGTCTTAACAAAACACAGTATATATCCCTTTATTAGCCTTACTAACAACCCTTCTAGGTCAGTGCTGCAGAGAGCCTGAAGCTTAACTTGTTTCTAAGGAAGGTAAGGATGGAATTGTTACAGTGCCGTCAGCACTAGCTGTGCACAGATACCAAAGACAAGTGATTCACAGGCCTGTGTTTAGATTTCCCCCAGCTTCATCCAATCCCTTTCTCCCAGGCTGGAGAGTTGCCACTGATGGACACACTGTCATGGAGAGAATTTTATCGGGTGAAAGAGCCCACTGGCAGGAAGCCCCTGAGAGACAAATGAGAGGTATGGCCAGGAGGAGGGGGATGTGGTAGGGCTGGAGCCACAAACTAAAGCGAAAATGAATTGGTTTTGGCTGGGCAGCTCCTAGAGCAAAAAAAAGGACACATTTAGCTGCTGGAAGCCCCACAGATTCTGCACAGCAGGACACAAGGCAATCACAAATCTGGCTGGCACTCTGGTTATACAGTGGAGCAAGCCAGCTGGCTGTCCAGGGTGAGAAATTCAGGCATGCGGTGGGAAGGAGGGACAGTGGGATACTGGGAAACTAGTTCCCAGTTTGAGATACTACATGCATTTGGCACCTGAGTTTTGCTTTAGGTTAGTCAAGTCCGCTGCTGCCAAGTGGTACCCAAGTTCACATGCAGAGGAGATGGGGGGTAAAGTGCTGAGAGCAAAATTGAACTGAGAATCGGGGAAAAGTATCAATTGGAAAATGCTTTGAAATGATTGACTTGGCTTTGATTGCCACATGGGGGAGATCTGAGCCTAAACAGTTCTTTCAGAGCTGTGTCACACAGGAGGAATCCTTCAGCAGACACTGGCTGACGGTCCACACTGTCTTTGTGGCTGGTGGGACAGCTGGATGATTACATCAAATCATACTGCATGGTGACACATCAGGACCTGATGACATTCCCGGGAAAAAGCGGTTAACAGCTGATGTTCTTGTGAGACCCCACCTCGAGTGCTGCGTCCAGCTGTGGAGCCCCCAACATCAGAAGGATAGAGACTGGTTGGAGCGAGTCCAGAGGAGGCCACCAAGATGCTCAGAGGGCTGGAGCACCTCTGCTATGGGGACAGGCTGAGAGAGTTGGGCTTGTTCAGCCTGGAGAAGAGAAGGCTCCGGGGAGACCTTATTGCAGCCTTCTAGTACCTGAAGGGGCTACAAGGAAGCTCGGGGGGACTTTTTACAAGGGCCTGTAGTGACAGGACAAGGGGTAACGGGTTTAAATTGAAAGCGGGGAGGTTTAGATTGGATATCAAGAAGAAATTCTCCATGGAGAGGGTGGTGAGGCACTGGAGCAGGTTGCCCAGAGAAGCTGTGGATGCCCCATCCCTGGAAGTGTTCAAGGCCAGGCTGGACGAGGCCCTTAGCAACCTCGTC